AGATCCACATCATCCGATACAAACGCACACCAACACCACACACAACCAAGGCAGGATACAAAAGCGCTGAGCGCAGCAACATCACCCCTAGCACACTACCACGAAGAGATGAAGCCGCATACAACGAACCGTGGACTCCAAGGCGGTGCCTTCAGGAAGGATACGACACCGGAGCGCCGCCACCGCCCGATCCGAGGATCAGAGTTTCCCCCGGAGCTGCACGACGGGCGGTGAGAGCCGCGACGACGCCTTCAAGAAGGGAACGAGTTTCGCCGTCGCCGGTCCGTCCGAAGAAAGAGCAGGTTTTCACCCCGGCCAACACTCACCGCTGCCGAACGCTACACCCCGACAACCACGCCGCCCACACGGCCATGGTCACCGGGCAGCGCCAAGACACGGGCTTTGCCCAAGAGCACCGTGCACCGCCACCAGGGCCGCCGCCCAGGCATCCAAGACCTTCACACCACCGCACCCGAGACCCGCCGCTACCCCAACCAAAGAGACGAGCAAAAAAAGAATCTGCCTTTGCACCCCTGGCCCACCCCCAGCATCGAGACCCAATAGGTCGGCCAACACTCGCATCCATCGACCCATCCTGCAGCCTGGAGCGCGAGACGAGATCGGTCCTGCAGCACCGTGGGGCGGGGACGAGGTCAGTCCTGCTGCACCGTGCGCGAGACGAGCTCGGTCCGGCGGCACTATGCGCGAGACGAGCTCGGTGCTGCTGCACCGGGCGCGAGACGAGCGATGGACCGTAGCTGGGAAAGGGCCAGCCCTTTGAAGGGAGTAGCGACCGAGCGCCGAGGATATGGAGTGAAGGCCGAAACGGTCCGATCGCAGACAAACCGACGCCGGAGAAGCTAGCCGCCGCCGCAAGCAGATCCGCCAAGCCACCATGGAACCGCCACGACACCGGGAGTCCATCAGCCGGACCTCCACAGGTCGCCGCCCACGGCCGGAGCAATGGCCACGCCCGGCCGCTGCCCTACCCGCGTCGCCCGGCGAGCTCATAGCGCCGGAGCCGCCGGGCACGCACCACCGCCACCACGCGCCGCCGGCCGACCCCCACCACCAGATCCGGCTGGATCCAGCAGGGGGCCGACCGCGCGCCACCTCCCGAGATGGGAGCGCCGCAGCCGCCCCGCCACGCACGAGATCCAGGGCACCGGCGCGCCGCCACCAGCCGGCTGCCCCGCGAGCCCGCCGCCGAGCTGCTGAACCCCGCGAAGTCCAGCATCGCAACTCGAGGAGGCCGCCCCGCGCCGGCGTCCCACGAGCAGGGGGGAGAAGGGCCCCGCCGCCGCCGCGCCCACCGGGCTTTGCCCGACAGAGCTCACTGG